CGGAGTTTCGAACTCGCGTCTCTCCGGCCAGAGGCGAACAGTCTAAACCTTGAGCCACGGGTCCGCCATGTTTTCTATTTGTGATCGGGACTATATAGTAGTGGGTTACTGTACACCGATATGTTTCAGGATGTACCTATTCTGGTAGATGGCTTATTTGCCAGCTAATTGGAACACCAATCATGTGTGTTCAAGGCGAAATAGTTATATTTCTCGCTAGCTTTTAGTAACAATGGTAGCGAGCGAGTAACATAACTATTTCGCCCTGAACACATATGCCTTGGCCGGCATTGGCCTGGCAGGTGGTCACCCTTTTCGAAACCTCTAGCCATCACGTGACCTTTGTTTAGTTCGGAAGCCTATTGGATCGGTGTTCGGACATTCCTGAGTGAATATATATATTGCTGATCAAAGCAAAAATGCGTGTTTCCGGACATAATTGAGAATGTAAGGCACTTGCTTTCGGCTAATAAAACGGCTTGCAACTATCTCATTGTACTATTATTTGCATTGGCAAGATTTCTTTAGCATTTTTAATGAACCCTTCTGTGCAAATTGCTGACTCTAATTTCGAAAGCCTTCTGGTTTTGACCCAAGCTTTCTTAATTTAAGTGACTCAACGTCCAACCTAGCCTTTATTTTGGTTTGTAATCGTTAGCATGGTCTGCTAACACTGAAGTCTATGCATTTCTTTGATTTTTCTGCAAGATATTTAACTTAAATCCAGGGAGTACGGGTAGCGAATGAATGTGTGGACGTAGTGTCAAGACTTATTCGCCGCAAAGTTCCCTCAAATTTTCCTGCCTTTCTTTTAGGGACCTGAAGGTCTGCCCGGAGTCAGAGGTGAAAAGGGTGATGTAGGAGACACTGGCTACGTGACCATCCAAAACCGTGATATCATTCGCGGTGATCGAGGTGAACCTGGTCTTCCGGGTCCCAAGGGACAGTCCGGAGATCGTGGAGAAATGGGGGCCAATGGCGAGCAAGGTGAACCCGGTTTTATAGGGCGCAAGGTGAGTCTATTACCTAAGTCAGTTTCTGACACCAGAAACAGTGCAAGCAATGCTATTTTTAAAAAAACCGTGACCACCTGTGCGTGCCGAAAAACGTCAATAGAATTGTCTATTTGCTTACAATAGAACCCTAATTATGTACACACATAAACTGCTACTAAACTAAAACAGTAGCTGTTGCATATAGACAGAATACGGGAAGGCCCTGATGTTTACTTTTGGATGACGACCCCTAAATAATTCATTCCAAAAGCGTTTTCGTTTTTGGGGGCCTTTCTAGGTATTAGTGGTTTAACTGGCTTAACATAGGGCATGTCGACTCCTCCTTCTCCTTTTGTAATTCATCGCACTTTCAACAAGATGCGTGTTTAGATATAACTGATCGTCTGCTATGGATATCAGATGAATTGCTGGTACTCTGAGGCTCCGTACTCAGTTTATCGACAAAAGTTGTGTAAAATATCGAAAGAAGAAACTCCTACGAGACCGTCACTCCTCTGCAGTTAAACTGCTACATGAATGATAAATCAGCGGACGCCAACACGCATTTTCGTAGGAAGACTAGCTAAATGGAGCAAATTCTGCTGGATACGTCTAGTGAATGCTAGGGCAGAAGAAGATACAGATGATCGTTTAAAGGAAATGATCAACAGTCTAGTTGATATAACTATCCTTCAGTGGAAGAAGCCAGTATACAAATGCATTCCTTGAATAGCCTTATTTTAAAGCAGGCTTGTTTCACCACTCCTTTGGTGAACAGAGTTCACTGAATAAGGATCAATTCGCTTATTATCTTGAGCTTTCGAACTCTTACAGGAGTCCATCGTCTGAGCTAAGAAACAGCAACAGAAATGATGCTAATTATAATGTGCGTACATAAATCAAATATCAGGGGGTTACCAGTTCGTAAAAAAGGCGAGGAGGGTGGGAAGGGGGGCGGAACAATTAGAGAGGTGTACGTGGATTAATTGTCAGTGGTGTCAACGCTAATCATGGCATCAGCAACGAAACTTGGGGCCAATTAACTGTAATGGACGACTGAGCGCGACGGACTGCGACCATTTGTCTTTTGAGCTCCTTCGTACTGTTCAAAAGATATTCTGAGATTTTTTGCCAGCAGTCTTTAGTATTCCATACAAAAGGCACCAAGCTTCTGAAGTCTGATGATAAAAGCGAACAGGAAGCAGTTCAGAAAGGGGAAGAATGCAACCCCTGGAAGACGAAGAAGCTTATTGGCCTGACGATTCAGGTTCTCATCATCATCAACATCATCATCCCAGAAGTGTAGTATTTACAACACGTAAGAGTCATGTGACCACACGCGGACTATAAGCAGTATCTCTCTCAAAAACTGCCCGGAGATGGTATTTGATGCAATGATCGCTTGTCAGGCTACGTTGGTCATGATTGCATCATCCATTTTGTCTGCTTGCGTGACCATTACGCGGCGATTCGGCTCGCTGTCACTTTACTTCTTGGTTGACTGCGTCTTCCCAACCAGCAACCTCTTTAGTGATCCAACTCGCAAAGAAGTGATCACAGATG